AATATTTCTGGAATGCTGATCGCTCCACCAAATCAAGTGAAATATTTAGTTAAATAAAGCCAAATAAAATTAAAAATTTCACCAACATTGAGATACTGTTTCTGCTAAAGAGAGCGCAACGTCTCTGAGTCTTGTGGATTTAAATCACCCAATAATGTTTCAAAAACGAAGAAAATTTAACTAAGAGCGACGTAAAATTAGCCAACTAACTAACTAACAACAGATCTTAAGGTTGCAGTGTTTTATCCCCAACAACAATAATAATAACTAACATACATTCTTAAGACCAAAATAAACACAATTACATAAACAAGTAATTTTTAAGCAGAAAACACAACCGACTTCAACGCTCATATAAAAATTTAGGAGTGCCGTTAATTTCTGCATGATCCAATAATCGGAATTAAACCAAATTAGTAAAAGAACACCCTTCCAATAAAAAAAAGGATTATCGAAAACAGTGCACGTGGCTTAAAGTTATCTGGTATCTTTTGAGGCCGGTTAATAAGAATTAAAAAGGTACATACCACGTAAGCGTAGGAATCAAAAACAAAAACCTTACGAAAATTTTTTTCCAGCCGATTTACGATGGAACTTTTTGAATATATCATAAAACGGCGGTGTTTGATTTATTTTAAGCTGGGACAAGGTGTTTAGATAGTAGACGCAAAAGACTTTATCCTATTAAATGGCAATGCAAAATTTCTGTGACTCGTAGAAATACATAAAAGTTGATTTCGGACCATGGCACTGCTTGACTGCTCAACATAGTTCTAAAGAAGCTTATACCAGTGGCACAAGTTAAGAGCTCTATTTGACCAACACTGGTTTATTTAAGTTACAACTTAAAGTCTAACTATAATCCAAATTGACTACTGAAGCCAAGTTGCTAGAGGTATGTACTACCACTCCGCAGAACCTGGATACCGTACCTGGTCAAAGCAACATCCAAACCAAGCAAAATTTGTGTTGAACAGCGGTTGCCCCTCGACAAGCAATGACAAACCTTCGAGGGCATTGCTGCTTCTCATAAGGCCATTTGCCGTTCGGAGGCGGCGTAAAATTGTTGGTCCCTTCACTATACAAATTACAGGAGAAGATCGGCCAAAGACTTAGCAAGAGTGTACGCGCCAAAAATTTTGTTTGTTGCAATCCTTAAATCATTTGCTTTGGTCCTCAAAAAAAAAACCCAACTCTTCCACGCTCATGATTCGCCTTCATCTTGAGTTTTCTTGTATTAAAACCTATATAGGGGTTTTAATAAAAGGATCAGTCCAGCGCCTTCGTCCTGACCTGCGGGCTGTGTTTGAGCCCCAGCCCCTAAACTTATTATGGTCATATTACACTATGTTATATACATTGAATTTAACTTTGCAAACAGGTGGTAACCCTATTCAAATTATTTTCAAACATAATCTTTGTTAAATATTCTTCGTGCGACATCCTAATTGTGATACATATTTAAATTAACTAATTCCCTTAATTCAAGTTGAATTTAAGTTGAAAACAGGTGGCAACCCTATTCAAAATATTTTCAAGCCACAACCTTTTTCCATAGAATGAGTGTAAGTTAATATAATTTATAAACGCAGTCCGTGTTCCGTTTGTCAACGTGTGTGGGGAGGTCAATATCCGAAGCTAACGTATGCCCATGCATATGTAGTTCTTTCACTGGTTTTCGTGGGTCCCAACCCGACGCATGTATTGTATATAGTGAGCGGCTTGTTCCGAGACGGACACCCGTTTATACTCGAACATAAGAGACGCCACTGACTTCAAAGGCCCTTTAAATCAAATAAGTCGGGAGTGGCGCCCAGCTGGGACTTAAGACTTTAGAGGGGTGGGGTACCGCATTTTAAACAAATGTGGATCATATTGTACACGAACGGTGACGTAAGGGTCGGAGTTGTGTTCAGTCGCGCATTTTTAGCTGTGTACCCATCTAAACTGCTACGAAAACCTCACTCAAACTGTCCTTGTTTTACTGCCCATATTTTTTGCACACTTTTTTAAACAATCTTTCGCCATTTTTTATACTGAAGTTCCACTGGTAATTCTATGACAAAGTCGCGGCATTACGTTTATCGCTAAGTTCGGTTCTACAATGCATTTTTAAAATATCACATTTTTCTGTTATAGCAATGCCTGCTGGAAATTGTTCATTACTTTAAAGGTTCGTTCCCAGTCGGCAAAATTAGAAGCGTTTCTAAGTAAATGCTTTCAGGCAGAACTTTTTAAAGAATATCTCTTTGTATGTTTCCAAACAAAGTAAACAATTGCAGTGGCAGTGCCGTAGTAGTGTTACCAGGTGACGTGGTGCAAAGTTATGCGGTAACATACATAAAAAAAAAAAAATTCCGACGAACTGATAACCTCCTCCTTTTTTGGAAGTCGGTTAAAAATGTACCGTTTACAGTTGGGTCGCAAGGTGGCAAATTTTGCAGCAAATGCGACATTTGCAACAACTTTGCGCTGTTTCAAGAATCCAACTATTAAAATAACAATAAATCGGTTGGGTGATGTATAAGGTCAATGAAGTGGGCATAATGCCAAATGACTTTATGGACATGTTCCTTATGTCACCCCACCCAAAATATATATGTATGCTCTTTGAAAAATGAATTTAGTGACTATTTCTATAAACGGATATTTTTCGTTGCCCAACTTTGTTATTTATTTACAGGTGTCCAGTAGAAACTCGGCATAAGAGAAACTGAATCAGAAGGAAAATTAGGAAAGAAAAAAATCAATTATTTATATATTTTCAGGGAACGGATTTTATTGGCGTTGCTTCTTTTCTGCGAGAGATAGAGTAGTGAAAATAACCACGCTTTCTTTAATTTTAATTTTACATATTTAATGTTGCATTTTTCTTGGAATTTGCCTTTTTTAACTTTAATTAAGTGATTAAAAGTTATATAAAATTTTTGAAATTTTTTTAATTTGTATTAAGAATAAATTAAAAATAATAAAAACTTAAAATAAAGCTGCGTAAGTGATATATAAATATTGTGGAAAATTCTTAGTATTATCTGCACTGTCCACTTTCGTTTGACGCCCATAGTTGCATACCTTGTTGAATTATACGATTTTTTTGGAACCTTAAAAAACTTTGAAGAAAACTTTGAAATAAAATTCAGACGTCCCACACCGGGGCCGCCCCATAGAGGACGATGCTCAAAAGTACTTTTTAAAATTTTGAGGTACAGTAAAAACAAATTATACCAGCAGAGTCATAACAATGCATATTTATTGTATTTCAACTATAATTTCGCGCGTATATCGAGTTTCTCATGTGTGGCAAAAATAGTTCAAGTTTGTTGTTAGTGCCATATTTTCTTACCATTTTTACGATATTTCATGCCATTACCTGTCTATTTCGCCATTTTATTTTTGGGCATTTAGGACCTAACAATCCGTTCCCTGTTTACTATAAACAGTTTATAGCTTGCGACAGCCCTTTTCAGGGAACTGTGATACCGCCGTTACATGCAATATTTGTTGGCACATGACAGTAGCAAGCATTTCACTGCAATGGAAGGAAAACTAATACATTTTATATAAACTAGTCTATGTTCGTTATTATTTACTCATACATTCCTAATATGCCCAATATCTATAAGATGTTTGAATTCTTTCTGCATTTCAAGATGTACAAATCTAACAGAAATAATCCTACAGCTAACTAATACTCATTAAAACATACGAACAGAATCCAAAGAAAGGCGAAATAATCATACCAAATAAAATCAAACAAATTTTGCAGTTACATTAGTTTGGCAAATAGTTTGCATTTTCTTTCAAAAAGAACTTTTTATTACTCAACAGTACTTAATATGTATATACATAAATGGTTTTCATTTGAATCGTTTTATCTATGTATGTATTAATTAATAAGTAATTAGTTCATAGCATTGTTTACATATTGAACTAAATTTATGTATCAATGTAAAAACTATGGTTTATTTCAATCTTTTCTTGTGCCATGACTTCATTGCATTCGGTTTGAACTGCTTATACATTAGGGTGGTCCTTAAAAATAACAGCATTTGAATTTTGTATGGGACACCCCATGTACGTAAAACAAAATAAAGGCATCTACGAATATTTTAAAATTTTAAACAAATTTTAAGAGACCGCTAGCAGAGTTTGAAAAGTTTTAATTTTTTTACTTCGCAAAAATTTGACAAAATGTGCACTTGAAATCTAATAAATTTGTCATATTATTCAAACTTATTCGTATAAATTCATAAAATCGCTGAGTTGAAGCTGTTCAAAGTGAAAATTTTGTCGAATTTTTGCGATTTAAAATACTTAAATGTTTTCGAACTCTGATAGCTACCCTTAATTTTTCTTTCGTGGCCGTTTTAATTTTGTACGTACCACAAAATAAAGGGGTGTCACAGGATGTTGGTATTTTAAAGACCACCCTAATATACATAGTAAACAAAAAATTACATATTACAATATGTAAATAAGTATGTCACTTTACATAAAGATGTAAGTGCTAATGTATGCATACATACATATTTGTTGGTATGTAGGATTATTGGTATGTGAACATATGAGTATGTATTTTTGTGTACATACAAATTTATATGTATGCCTGTATGCTTTTGTGCCTTATTTTAATTGAATGTTGCACTATATTGCATTAACTATGTATGTACTCACACGTATGCTTGTATATGCTTTGTTTGCGTAATAACTGCTTTTAATAACTAGAGTTAAGAGCTTGTTTTTTTTTAATACAATCATACATACATATATTGATTAGAACTTAGAATAATTCATGTATTGTACATTACTGGCTTATATGCATGTATGTAATATGTATGTTGGTTGTGGGATTTGTTGCAGTACATTTTATTAAAAAAGGTGTTCCTTTCATACATATTTGTTTGCTTTGCTTTTGGTACAGAGTTTTTTGTATTAAATTTCCTGCTTTGTTTTCACTTGTGTTTTGTATTTTTAACTTTTTTAACATTTATTTTTAATACATTTGCATAAATTTTTCGCGTACTTTTTAAATACCTAGTTAATTTTTCTTAATTAAAATCGTGCAATTATTAAAATAATTTTCCTTCTTAAAAGTCATATGGATTGTATACAAAAAGGAAGCAAATAAGTTTTAAGTTTAAATACAAAAAGATATTCCATATTTAGCCTAATTTTCATAAAAATAAAATTGTTTTAGCAAACAACAAATTTGTTATGTCACAGCTAGTACTTCAAATGACACTTTTATTTCCACTTAAAATAAAAAAAAAAAGTTATATTGGTTTTGTTGCTGCTTTTGTGATATATTCCTTATACCGCATATTTCGTTCGCATTTGTGCTACCTTTGTAGTTGTAGTTTGCTTTGTCACCACCACACCAGACCTGTAGGAAAAAAGTTTCGCGTGCCTATAAAACACACGCCGCCAACCAACCAACCGCCCACCAACCATCAAATCTCGCTCCCTCTTGCTCTCCATTCACATTTATACGCAATTTATCGCTCATCGGCGCTGGGCACCACTTCGACCACCGACACAGCCTCAGCCGTTGTTGTCGTCGAAGTGGACGAGGAGGTAGTCGAAGCTGGTGACACATTGTCGGCGTTGTGTGCCACTGGCGGCTCCACAATGCTCGGCGGCAGCACGAAACTTTTTCCCACAAGTTGATCTCATTTGAGTCCCGTATCGCTGGACGGCGTCCATCGATCGAATTCAATACCCGAATCGGGTGACACACCGGTTGCCGCTTTCGCCAGTTGCGCCATATAGCCGCCCGTCTGCATGCATTTACAGTCTGTTGCAATGCAATTGCAAGTGAATTTCGAACTTAAATCGCCGCCACAACGTCCAGCTGTTAGCGTATTAGCCAAACTCGTGTTGGCGGTGCAAGAGGGTATGCCGCTGCCACTACCGCCTCCGCCACTCTCATCCATCGCTGTGCACTCATTGTCACCGCTGCCGCTGCTGCTGCCTTCACCACTATTACTGGCCGGACGCAGTTTTCGCTCGAACGAATGCAACTGCTCCATGAAATGGAAATTGGGTGCCACATCGGGCTTGCGATCGCGCACTAACGTGAATGCGTCATTCAGGCTGAGTGTGCGCGTTTGCATTAGATAGGCGAGCGTCACTGTGACAGAGCGGGATACGCCGGCTAGGCAGTGCACTAGCACGGCGGCATTGTTGGAGCGCGCCTCCTCTGCAAAAGGCGAAGAAGGAAATTCGTTTTTACAAGTCCTTGTCAATTTAAGTCGGAGTTACTTACCTATAAATCGTATGGCGTCTGGAAAATGCATGGCCAGATCTTGGGAATAGTGATCAGTAATAGGAATTTGTAAATACTGTATATCGCCTGAAGACTCGAAGACATTGGGAAGATCCGGTGTGACGTTTAAAACATACTGGAAAGAAGGAAGAAAATGGCGGTTGTAAGCAAATAATTTTACCATTCAAAAGATCAAGAGATTTATTAGTTGGTGAAGTACTTTAATATCGCCTAAACTAAGGGGAAATCGAGAAATCTGACAGATAGGAAGATTAGATCTACAATTCCGCTCCATAGCCAGAGGGGGTAAAAAGTTCCATAATTCAACAACTTTAAAGTCAGTGGGACTCGACTAGTTGAGATACAAATGGGAATTTTCTAGGAATAATTAAAAACAGTACGCTTAGGTTTCTCCTCTTAAAATACTATGTTGGTATATATAGAAAATATGTTGCGACAGGGCGTTTTTGAATCGGCAGCTGAGATAGGGCATTTTTCAATCAAATCCTGAAATAGGGCGTTCTCGAAAAGTTTTCATTGCTAAAACCTTTGCTTGAAATATGCTGCAATGTCAGGCAACTTTACTTTCCGCCTGAGGTTCGCTTCCCTGCAGTAAGCCCCGGCACCCACTCCAGTTACCATTTTATAGCCTTCCATGAAAATGTATAGGGTGTCATTCTCTTGCGGCATCTCTCCTCCTCAATGGTTGTGCGAAGACTTCGTTCCCACTTAAAGCTGGGTGCCATGGAGTCCATACTACCTGTGCTTCACGCCCCAATTGAGCTGTGCCCAAAGTTTCTGAAATATAATTCCCCTATGGCCCTCAATCTATCTGAGAATAAGTCAATGGGCGGTAAACTGAGAATTTTTTCAAGAGCAGCAGTTGGAGTGGAGATCAGCTCTCCCTGAACCTTCTCCATTGGCCCGAGGTATGGGAACTTTTTTGCGGCATTCAACCACACCAAAGCGCCATAGAGCAGTATTGGATGTTGCTCGTCTTTTTCACCATTTCCTCAACATTGCGCTTCCACAGCAGCGTACTGTCCAAGACTACTCTCAAGTACTTTGAGCGTTCTTTAATTGACAGCTGAACCCTACTTAGCCTCGGGGGTCTCCACACTGGGACCGTATATTTTATTGTAAAGAACTAAGGGCGCTGTTCATTACATTACTGATAGTGTCTACGTACTTCCCTGTTACTACAACTTGAGACATTATTTAAAGCATATTATTTCCATTTTAGAGCCTTCTCGATGTGTTGTACTAATGAGTGTAGTGCAGCCTCCGTGATATTGCCCTTAGTGTACGCATTTTGGGTGTGGGCCAAGATGCCTGGCGGCAGAATGTCACGGATGTGAGTGTCAAGATTTTTTTTCGAATATTTTTAGGAAGAATGAGGTCAGACTTATAGGCCCGTATTTCTTAGAGAAAACTAGGTTGATCTTGCCTGCCTTGGGTATAAATACAGCCCTCGCTTGCCTCCACAGATATGTGCCGGTAACATATCTCAGCCTCAAACAGTACAAAAATATCGCATTCAGCTATGGCACTATAAGGTGCATAACCTTCTGGAGCAATACTGGAATTATTCCGTCTACTCTCGGGGATTTGCAGTGCTCAAATCTGTTGATTGTCCATTTTACTTTGGAAAAAGTTCTGACGTTTGGCGGGATGCTACTCGCTATACCTCCCCCACTATCGAGGTCTGTCAAGTCCATGCATCCCGGAAAGTGGGTTTTGATCAAGTCTCCTAGCGACTTTTTGCTTGAATTGGTCCATTCGCCGCAACTCTAACGTATAGAGCTAGATGCGCTTGGAATCTTGGTTAAAAGTTTCCTAAGCCTGCCCACCTAGTTTGTTTCCTCTCTAAGTTCTCACAGAAGTCCTTCCATGATTTGTTCTTTGCCTTCCGTACTTTTTTTTGTTATATAATTTAAGTAAGTCTTAATCGTATCGATTAATCGTAAAGAGAGTTAGTTAAGAACGTTCCCGGACGTGGGTCTAATTTTAAGGAGCAAACAAGCAGTATAAAATGGTTTCCTTGGCATTCTTTGTGGCATACATTTTGCGTCAAAGCCACAAAGTTTTATCTGGTATGGTCTTAAGCTTCGGGCACTTCTAAGGCAGACTTAGAGCTATAAAACAAATCTATAAATACTTGATACATTTTAGCAGCTAAAAATGTAAGTTTTTCTTGCAATCGCAAAATGCATGCACACTTTTTCTTACCTTTATATTGTACTTTTGTAATGCGCGTGAATCACAACTATGCGATTCATTGCCAAGAAATAAGCCTGGAATGATCTCCACAGGTGCCTCATTGATATTGTGATGTGTTGTACTTTCACAGTCGGAAGATTCAGCGGAACTACTGCAGGCGGAATCTGAATGTGGCGTTGATATCCGCAAAGATCTGTGTTGCAAACGAAGTGAAAAAAAACGCAATAAAATGTCAGTTTTCCATTAAAACAAATAGTAATTTGAGCGCAAGATTTACAGAAAAACAAAGAAAAACTAACCTAAGTCCCATCAGTTGATCGGCCTGTGTGCTGTGACTAGATTCCATTTCTTTATTTTGTGCGCTATCATCCTCACACCATTCGGGGAATGCTTGACGGAAACTTGAGAAACCATCTGAAATGACAGTGAAATAAGAAATTGCAAGTTAAACACACACTTTAATTTATTAATTTTTATCTTTAAGTATTTAAGTGCATTCAATTACAAGTTCTAACCGACTAAAATTTCGCTTAATTAATAACTAGAGCCAAATATTTATGAAAGTCGCAATTATTATTTGGAATGCATAGTTCCTGCATTGTAATCATCATAAGTGTTAAATAAGACTAATTTGTTGTGGGCCGAAAAAGTTTTTGTGTGCTATTTAATTAATAAAGTGAATAAGTGGCGTTGACGTCATTTTCTGTGTATTCCATTCAACCCACTGACCTTTTGAGTTTTCTATATTTGCATTTCCGCCAACGAATAACCGGCATTCAAGACACCCACAAACGTAAAACAATGCTCCCACATGCTACAGTTCAACAGAAATTTTTACGAATATTTACGATTATAAGTGAGTTGGCATGTACATAAGCTATGGCTACCCAGCCAGCAAATAGAGCTGGAATTACAATTGGGCTGCAAGCTACAACTTCCTTAACATATCAGCAAGTAATTGGTTGTCAGGCATCTTTGGTTCCGGTAAGGTAAAATTAAATACTTTAACCCGCGTGAAGAGGTGTTTTATGTGCTGGGTTTTTATAAAAACATTAGAAAATTGTTATGAACCCAAATACGAACAGGAACAGGAATAGGGACAGAAATACGATTGTGAATACGAATTTGAATGCAAAAATGGTAGAATCTTTTAGATACCTTAAATACGTAAAAAAAAAGAATGGAATTGAAAATTGAAAGATTGTATATCGATGAAAAAATCAATGATGTGGAAAATATCTAACTATCTATCTAAAACAAGGAAGTGGAGCTTCGGCTGAGTGACCATTTCGTGTGGGTACGGAGTGCGGTGTTAAAACAAGTGCGAAAGCAGAGCAGCATTTAAAAAAAATGTAAAAGTAATTTAAATGCAAATATTTATACCGTCAAAAGGCTTTTATAGGGGTTCCAAAAACGGTCGCTGGGTGCGCTATGATGCAAAAAAACATGGAAGGAACATGAGGGAATAGTGCCAATAATGTTTCTCAACAATGTTCCTTCATTTTTTTTTTTGCAACCAGCGACCGTTTTTGGGAAAAATGAATGGCAAAAATGAATCGCGGATTAATAATAATAATAATAATAATAATAGATTGTGCGCCTTGATGTTGTCAAACAAAGCGGGGAGACCGACAGTTTTACGCCGACTCCGAACGGCTATTGTATTTTTATGGGAAGCTGTTTTTCATGGCAGAAATGCACTCGGAGGTTTGCCATTGCCTGCCGAGGGACGACCGCTGTTAAGAAAAAACCTTTTTTCTAGATTTTTTTTGCGATGTTGCTTTGACCAGGGCTTGAACCCAGGTGCTGCGGAGTAGAAGCGCGCACTGCTTACCACTACACCACCAGTTTTGTAAGCACTATCAATAGTTTTCACTCATAAATACATTATTGAGTAACATCCATATTTCAGAGCGCGGATGCGGCATGAAGCCAAAAATCGTTGATAAACTGTTGTTCCTTATAGACATATTTTAGTAATTCTGATCTCATTTTCAATAAAAGTTGTTATGTTTTATTTTTGGACTTTTTTAATCAAAACTATCGATAGTCTCGACATTTTCGATAGTATCGATACTATCGATGGTTATGGCTATCGACAATCGAAACTATCGATGGCCGTGGGCAGTAGTTTCCCAGCTCTACATGTCTGTCGTCTGTCCGTGTATACGATAACTCGAGAAAAAATTGAGATATGTCAACGAAATTTGGTAAGTAGGTTGCCTTTTTTCCAAGGACAGTTAGGATTGAAAATGGGCAAAATCGGACAATAACCTCCCATATAACGGTATTTTCTAAATATGCAAAAACTATTTATTATTATTATGAAATTTTTGGAAAATGGTTGTGGCCCCGCCCACTTATGATGCGATGCTCTATCTCTGAAGTCCCTTTACCAATCCCTACCAAACTCGGCACGTTAATCAACCTTGGATCAAAAAAGCGATATGCTGAAAATTTTGGAAATCGGACTTAAGTTACCGCCAAAGTTTCGCCGGAACTTATACTTCTTTACCTGTTTTTGTATATATAACTCTTGTAAAGTAAAAATTTAAAATTTTTTTATAGGTGGCATACACCATGCGTCTGACTGGCGAGTCGGTTTGGAAGTGTTTGTGAAACTAAATATGTATCATTTACACCGACATGACTCTTGGTATGACTCTGAATGATTCAATTGTGTGTAGTCGAAGGCGAGTCAACACGTACACAAATGACTCGCGAGTCAGACGCACCGTGTATGCCGCATATTAGCTTCTTAAACTTCAATTATTTGACAATGGCTGCGTTTCTTTATACATTCCGGATAATCCCATTTCACAGCCGGAATAAACAGAATGCGTTTGAAATATACGTCAACATATCAACAGGAACGTTCTAAAGAATAAATAAACAAAAAAGCTTATTCCAAACGTTCGGAATGAATAAAGAAATGCAGCCAATATGTATATACATATGTAAATATGTATGTATGTGTGTCACTTGTGTTCCACACCCACATTTTAAAAGCTCAGTTAGTCTAGACTTTTAATTTCCGTAACTTAACTTAACTTAATATTTTGGCCAATCTGTTATATGAGACAATGTGTAAGCGGTTAGTTAAAACTTAACTTACCGTAAGCAACTTAAGAACCTATAGATTTTAGGCCTTACGGAAATTGAGAGCAGTGAGAGAATCAGGCTTGCCAGATTTTCGTTTTTGCATTTCTCAAATACAAATGAACGTAAACACATTTGTTTGCATGAATTTTTCGATATGGCATTTTAAGCGGCAAACTGTCAAAGAGCTAAGTCTAGAATAACGGAGCTTTAACTCCTTAGAAAAAAGCAGCTAAGTTCTGTTCAGTAAAAATACAGATCACTGCCGCTCAGACTCTGCGACCAAACGCTATTGCGCTGACATCATTTGCGTACGTTTAAGTAGAACCGGCAATCCGCACAAACGTCACGTAGTACATACTAACTACATATATACATACATACATACATATGTAGTATAATTTCATTGCATTTATGTGTGGCTCATGCTTTTGAGCTATTAGGATGCGCTTGTGTGCTGACCGTTTTGCTTTTTTGAAAACCGAATTTGAATGAAATCACGCCAACAATCCATGTCTGAATGTAGGCACGTATGCACTTGTCGAATAAATAAATAAAAAAAAACAAACAAACTGAAACTCGATGCTAAATTAGCGTAAATAGAATTACAAACAATTGTGAGGAGGCTACACATAACTTATTCATTGTTGTTATTTTTTTAATGTTTTTGAGTATTATTGTTTTTAATAATAAAGCGTGCAAAAAACGCGTTTGCTTTGAGGCATGAAGACGACCATTGATCAGCGAATGCATACATATATACATACATATATGTATGTATGTACATATATAGATTTAAACACGTAGATATGTTTATATGAGTAAGCGCGTATGTGCTCATGTACGAGCAAACTTTTAGATAATCGCTAACTCGCTCATTCGCACATTGAAAGTAATTTTAGCGGTAAAGCGGTTTGTTAGCACGCTAGCCAGTTAGTCGGTGGGTAATTTTTACATACATATGGCCGCCAACCACCCAGCTACTAGTATTTATTGCCGCCCGTTCAGCGGTCTCATTCACAAACTACCGCTCACGTTGTAGCGTGAAATTTGCAGTGGCGTTGTTTTGCATTGAAAACTTTTTTTTTGAACAGGTTGTATTCTATTGTTTTCATTCACCGATTTGATGTTGGAAATGCGTCATAGCCAGGTTTCATTGAATAAGTTTTCTTTTGCTAATGGCGTCACTAAAAGTAGCTATGTACGTCAGGGTGGTAAAAAAAAAATAAAAATAAATAAATTCCAAAAGAGCATGGAAATTAAGGAAACCTTTTTCTTTACCATTTAACCATGCCGCCGGGGCTTGGAAGCTTTCAACACAGTATTTCATATGGAGAAAATAAATTTTTTCGTAGAATTGGCATAAAATTGCTAAAAACAAATATTTTTTTGATCTAATGGAAATATTTCCTTTCAGAAATCTTCAAATAATAAAGTAATTATGCATATTTAACTTAAAAAATGTCGCTTTATCACATTTTATTGTACTAAAATTTATTGGGCTATAAAATTGCATTGCGTTTCATTGTATGCACTAAAACTTATTGGGTACTAAAATTTTTCTTTAAATTAAAAAAAATAAATAAATTTAATAAAACATTAAAAAAATATTAGTTTTTGGTGTGCATTTTTTCGTTTTAGCGGCACCCTATTATTGTTTTCAACCAGCTATTATTATGTAACGTTCATTAATAGGAAGACGAGAATCGATTTTCCTCAAAGTTGTTGCTTTCTATGCACTTTGCACTAAACAAGTTAATTTACCTAAACAAATAAATAATTTAAAAAGTAGTTGCTTAAACAACTTAAGAATTTAATTATCTTTCAATAAAAAAAAATTAAAATCCGTCTAAAATTGTAGGCCTCTTTGAAGAGTAAGTTTCGCGTTTGCATCACTTAACCCATTTCAAAAACAAAAAAACGGTCTCTTCGTGTAAAAACCTGTAAAACTGTCAAATAACAAAATTACTCTCTTAAAAGAGAGGAGCGAGAGCGAAACAGTAAAAGTCACCTGGAATGCGAAAAACCACTTTTCCTGTAACCACTTCCATTTTTTAACTTATGTAGGGTGTGTTTTTGTTTACAAATGCAACCCGCAAGTTTTGACTGAGAGAGAGTGCAAGTTACTCTCACAAAAGTGCTTTGACTTACAGGTTTTTTGGCACCTGGAACGTTTTCTTGTTAAAAAAAACCCTGCAAATCGTGAATATCTCTTTCTGCGTAGAGATTTTTTTGGGGCGATTTTATCCGGGAGACTTATGTTGTGCGGCATTTTGTCCGGGACATTTTTGTCGGGGAGATTTTTGTGCAGCAGA